GTAACAGAAGTAAGTTGATTATAAAACCTATTACAAATTCTCTCATTTTTCCTTCTAATTTAAAAGTTTTATGACTTGTTATATTTGACCCTCTCAACAATCTCATTGTAATATCAATGTGGAGATGAAGTTGCTCACCTGTTATGGGACTTAAAGCCACACTGTCAGAAAGGAGTGGAGCTGGGACATAAACTTTGAGATTCTGACTGCACCACCTAATCTGGAAAAAAAAGTCCTAAAGGAAAGGGCAAAAATATTCCAAAGTATCTAAGTGGTCCTTAAAAATGAAAAAAATAAATAGACATATATACTTACAACTGATCAACTGATCTCAGTGTTTCTTGATTTCCAAACCCAGCTGTTGGCAGAAAACACTAAATGTTAATTAATACTATCTTTAAAACAAACAAACAAAAAAAGCAGCCCATTGCTGTTGAGTCAATTCTGACCCATAATGGCCCTATAAGACAGAGTAGAACTGCCCCAGAGTGTTTCCAAGGGGCAGATGGTAAGGTGGATTCAAACTCTTGACCTTTTGGTTAGCAGTTGTAGCTCTTAACCACTGCACCACCAAGGTTCCAATACTACCTTAGTTCCTCCAGATTCAATATTTAATCATTGCAGTGCAGTGAATTACTTAACATGGTCCTTCTAGCCATGGATGGTCTGGTAACTTCCACAAAATAATGGGGTGGGACTATGCAAATAAGGTGCTCGTGGCCCACCAAAGGGATTGTAGAGCTTGCTGCTAATACAAATAAGGCGTATGGAACTCTACAGAGTCAACAAGGTGGAGCCTCTGGTCATTTCTGTACCCCCCTCCTGTTCATCATTGCACCCAATGTAAAGTGTCTGTCCTGTACTGGTATGATGCGTGTCCTGTTCTGTCATTACCATCATGGTTTGGCACTGATTCCCTGCTAAGTTTGCTCTTCCTCCTTTTTTTGTTGTTTTGTTGATCAAAGTATCTGAAACACCTAGAGCAGTGTCTGACACATAGTCAGTGCACAACAAATACTTGTTGATTAATAAAACAAATTTATACTTCCCCGCTACTCAGATGCCACCTGAGGAGAAAGAGGAGAAAAGGGAGGGAGAAAAAGCAGTGGAGTCAGTGGTGGCAGCTGATCCTCAATAACCCTCTCCTACAATGACACTTTGCTCATTACCAATGACCCTCTGGTGTATTTGTCACCCAACACTCCCAGCAATTACCAAAAATCTAGACAAGAGGTTCATAAAACCCACAACAACAGCCTCTAGGCATGATTTTGCAGAAGAGATCCAAATCACAAGGCTGAGACAGGCAAAATATTTTTCTGGTTAGAATTCATAGAACATTCTTAATTACATTTTTGGGATTTGTTGCATCTCATATAACAAGATTTACTGAAACTTGTGTAGATTATTTGGAACCTAAAGCATTGTCTAACACAAAGCCTGCTTCCAAAGGAAAAGTTTATGTTTCTTCTGTCTAGAATATCTTGTGGTCAGTTATTTTAAGCAGCAGGATGTACCTTTTAGAAAAAGAAGAATGTACCTGGGGCTTTTAAAGAGTCTGGGTAAGAGCATTTAGAATGTAATACACTTTGTAATACCAGCTCCTCCCCTACTTGAGCAAGAAGGAACGTTTGCATCTCTGACAGGCCATCCAAAGACAGTGTGAGAAGGCACACACACTTTGCATCTGCACGCCTGTGCAGTCAGGGTCAGGGAAACAAGAAACAAACGGGCTTCAATGGGATCACCCACAAAGTATCTTTGTTCCTTCTACAGCTTCTAAAGATGATTAGAGGTGGGAATAAAGAAGCCACTAACATCTGATATTTGATCCTTCTCAACTTATTCACCCCTAGAGTTTTATGCTCCCAACAAATAGCTAAGTTTTCTTTGTTTTCTGTGGCAAAGGATTTTTTTTACTTCGTGTATCAATCAGGGTACTCCAAGAAACAGAACCAGTGGGAGATATCTATATCGATATTTGGAGAGAGAAAGAGAGAGACTATTTTAAGGAATCGGCTCACAATTGTGGGGGACTGACAAGTCTAAAATCTGTAGAACAGGTGACAGGCTGGAAACTTTGGCAGAATGTCTATTTACACCCTTGAGGCAGTCTGCTTCTCCCTCATGAAGCCTCAGTATTTTGCTCTTAAGGCCTTAGACTGATTGGAAGAGGCCAACCCACATTATGGAGAGTAATGTACTTTATTTAAGATCAACTGATTTAAATGTTAATCACATGTAAATACCTTCATAGCAACATCTAAACTAGTGTTTGACCAAACTACTGGGCACCATAGACTAACCTGGTTAATACAAAAAATTTACCATCACTACTTAATATTATGTTTTTTTTCTACTCTTTACTTAGGCTTACTGTAAAATTTCAAGATCAAGTTTCCAAGAACAACCCTTAATACATAAAGAGAATTGGTTTGTTTGCTATTTAGGAAAAGAAAAAAATTTCCTCCCTCAATAAGTTTTCTACACTATGTATTTCTATGTACTCATAAAAGTTTAATTCATAATTTAGAACTAAAGAAATGACCCCTTTGTTCTAGATTATATAAATTTACCCTTCCATTAAACTAATGAATCAGAGGAGCAAGGTTTATGGAGAATAAAAAAGAATTAGCTTCATATCTCAAAAATATGATCTCTGTTATATCAATAACAAGGAAAAGTCATGGGAAAACTGTAAAATCTAGGTGGTTATATAAGAAACAATATACATGTGAAAATTTGGAGAATGTTGCTATAAAATGTGGACAGTAGGGTAAATTAGCAGGGAAGAATACCATAAAATAAATAAATTGAAGCGATAAAATCAGAGAAAGCAAACAAGAATTAGAAGTATCTTGCAGAAGTCATAAAAGAAAATAAAAAACTATTATTTTAAAGTGCCAGTGTAGGATATGTTATTGCAATTTTAGAAGTCAGGAAGTATGTAAATTTTGGTAGAAATTTTTGTCATGCCAGCACCCTGTAAAATTCTTTTAACAGCTCCACAAGTTGTACAAAGTAGCATATAATAAAAATACAATAAATTATTTAGAGGCACATAGTATAATTGTCAAATTTATTATACGGTTCCCATCTGTTTGGTATTTTATTTTTTGGTTAGATTATATTGAGTCCCTATTATTTCTGGTATCATACTGTATCTACTGGACTATGACTTCAATTAGACAGATGAAGAATGAATTTAAGTAATACAGTTTTTTTTTTTTTTTTAGTCACAGTACAGCGCTTTAGGTATCACTATTATTTAAAAAAGAAAAAAGAAAAAATGACTTACTGTTTGTTCTAGGAAATGAACTGAACCAGATGTATTGAATGGATGTTCAGTGGTCCAAATACAAAGCTTCACTTTAGTAACCAAACAGAACCATTTCTGTCATTCACAGTTAGAGGCATCCTAATAGAAATGATCACAATCTGCATGGCAGATTATGTTTTCACAGCATATAAGGCAGCTTATAAACATAAGGTAGCTTTGCTTTGTGAATTTACCTGCAATTAAGGAATTCAAATAAAAGGTCTTTTGAAATGCCTAGTCTGCTTTTATCCTTTTAAAATAACATATCTATAAAAGTTTCCAATGGTTTACATTTAATTTTTACAAAGCAATATTTATTACTTATTCAGAGTTCAGCGTATCCCTAAGCTTTGATACAGTGGCCACACATTATCAAGATATACTAAATTGGAAGAGAAATATCAAAACATTGTCAATAGTTTGGCAAATTGTCTGAACTGTATTGGATCAACTCTATGAATTTATGCAGCATTGAAAACTGTCATGTAAGATGATGCATTTTTCACTGCTTCAACAAATCCAGTCTGAAATTACTTGTATATTAAATAGACCCACAGTTCTATGAAATTTAATGTGACAGTAATTCAGATTCAGCTTTGAATATTTTCTGACACTAGCTAAATTAAAAAAAACAACAAACCTTATTACACCTGTTGCTGTCAAGTCAATTGCGCCTCACAGCGAGCTGATAGTAGAGTAGAACTGCCCCGTAGGGTTTCCAAGCAGCAGCTGGTGGATTCGAACTGCTGACATTTTGGTTGGCAGCTGAGCTCTTAACCACTGCACCACCAGGGCTCCTTTCTGACATTAACCCTCAAAAAAACCGATTTCCAGTCAGGGGATTCTGACTCACAGCAACCCTACAGGACAGAGTTAGAACTGCCCCAGGAGCTTCCAAGCAGAGCCTGGTGGATTAGAATTGCCGATCTTTTGGTTAGCAGCTGTAGCTCTTAACTACTACACCACCAGGGTTTTCTTTCAATATCAAGAGAATGAAACAAAGATTTGAGTTGATTTCCACAAATGTGACTTCTTCAGTGACTCCAATAAGACAGTGACTTCCCCATCTTTTAATAGTTATCTATTGATAAGTGGTAAATTTGATATAGAGGAGGAAGAATTTAAATGATTAACAAAGTTATAAGCCCCATTTAGTAAATACCAAGGAAGAAACAAATGAAAAAAATGAATTCCAATGTTAATAACTTTGCAAAAATTTTAAGAAAGCCAATTCTAATCATCCTATAATCAAGCCATTTAAAAGAAGGACTTGGTAAGCAACAGATTCAGTGCTGAATAGACGATGATCATAGAAGAATATTTAAAGGAATTCAATGGAGCTGATGTGATGAAGAAACAATGAATGGAGAAAGGAATCTCCTTAACTTAGGTGGCTATTACCTTTTTCTTCCAGTCTGAGGAAGGGCATGATATCAAAGAAAAGGAAACATAAACTTGATGAGAGATTAGTTTGCTATGACAGCAGCTGGCAAGTCAGCTTTCACTGAGGTGATACTAGTTGTTAAAGGGATAATATGAGTGAAAAACAGAAATCTTAAACGCTAATATCCACTTAACTTGTAGACGTGGGAAGCAGTAACAGGAAGTACAGACAACTGGAGAAGCAAGGAGTTTGAGACATGGAATGCTCAGTATATGGACAATATGCAAAGTTTTTTGAGTTGAATATAATATTGCATTTTATTTACTAAAAATTATTCAAAATATTGATTCCAGCTTTGCTTCCTAAATGACTGTGGCTGCTTTAAATTAAGACCAATAAGGTTATCAAAGTCTTTTTCTTAATATGTACTAAAAGGAAGTGAAGTTGAAAAGCAAAATGTATTTAAATGTGGCTAACATTTAGTGTGTTATCTACTGAAAAATAAACTGAAATTTCACTTGTAATTGCAATCCCTCCCATAAACGAAAATGTGCTTTCTGAAAGAGATAACACATTTTATTTAATGTGGTACTCATTGGAGAATTAAAATATCTGAGTTTTAGGCACTTTTAGGTTACTTAACTTTCTTAATATTTGAATTCCCTACTAGTAAGCCAAGGGGAATAATAGTTTCACCTCTTGGAAACATTGTAAGGGTGTATTTTTTAACTACGAACTTAAAAGTGTTCTGAAAAAGCATGCTGTTATTTGTTAAATTGGAAAATTATTTTTTTTTAATTAATTTCCTTATTCTTTTTTCTTTTACTCTCCAAATGCATTTAAAATCTTATTCTGAATGGAATATAATCTACTATTTTCATACCCAACAAAGGTCTCAAAGTCATTCTTTTTTCGATCGTGTTTTTCTTTTTGCCAAGTCTGTTGAATGCTTTCTGTCTATCATTTGAAACCCAAAACTGGATCACTCTATCATTAAGGGTATGATTATACAGCTTTTGAACACATATGTAGGAGTAGGATTCTGAATTACAGACAATTCTTTAACTTTAATTTTTCTTTTATTTTCCTTGACAGTAAAAGTCTCTGGAGAGTACAATCAAGATAGTGTATCCATAGAAATAACATTAATAGAAGCTAGTTCATAAATGATGACAGTCATAATAACAAACTCCTTTACCAAGGCATTCCACATGGAGAGATAACAACACAATAAATAAAGAATTTGTCATTTATCACACAGCAATTAAAAGAGCATTGCAGTAAAAATATGATTTTATAAATGTTCTTATACTAAAAAACAAAAATGTGAGATCATGCACTTGAGACAAAAGCTGAGAGTGAATAGTAACAGCAAAAAAAGACAAAAATGTTTACGTATCGTGAGAGAAGAGGGGAGGATTCAGATAGAATGGTTTCAGATTAAACCAATTATATTTGCTATCTTAGAAGAGACACACCATAACCATTAATACTTTACACTGTTAGAATATATGCTGTTATCCATTTAAAGAACAAATGCCATTTTCTTTGAGCACCTCTCATATTACAAGGATGGAGTGAAATTTATTGTTTACTTTGATTATAAATAGACAAGAGTACTTTAGGGGACATTATTCTCAAAAACACGCCAGTTTAATGCCCTGGAATAGCAGGGAACTAGGAGTCAGGAAACATCGACTCTAGACTTGTTTTCATTATTGTCTGCGAAAAATGTATTTTAAAACATCATCTCATAAATACTCTTCAAGGTACCTCTGAGTCCTGAAATAAAATTTCACTTCATGTGTCAATTTTTCCTATGAGAGTAGAACAGAGCTAGAAGAGAGAAAAAACAGTAAGAATAATAAAAAAATAGTTTAACAATTTTAATGATGCTTAATTTTTAAAAAGATTATTTTAAAAAAAGTTGGATCACTTACTGGAATTAAGAATTGTATAATGCTTTAGTGGGGTTGTTCCTACAGACTAATATTTACTTCCCCAACATGACTAATCTAAGCAGTGCGTTTATACTTTGTGGTTGAATAGCATATGAGATTTAAACAGTGGCTACTTTCTACATGATTAGGAAAGACATGTTTGTCATGAGAGTAAAAAAATAAAATTTGTCTGTTAAATTACACATAAATATAAGGTACAAATGTATTTTTAAAATACAGATTAAAATAATCACACTTGCATCGTGTACATACGAAAATACAGTATTTAATATTCAATATACACAGACACATTTACGATAAATGCAACTATTTGGCAATGCCAGTTCTTTCAGGGTTTATTCTGTTCCCTATTTCCATATATATGGAAACAAAAATGTTTCACTAAAATCTCCTAGCTCTGGCGGACATCTTGAAGCAGTTTGTTAATCTCAGCCACTAGCTCACTGGCATCCATGAGTTCATGCTTCCCATCATTGAGGTGGTTGAGCACATTGTCAAAATCATCTTCCTCGTAATTTTCAGGGATTTCCTCCATGGCCGGCAGCCATTTTGAAGAAGGCTGTACACTGGAGTGAGTTCCAAGTGGGGGCCCAGAGTTGGTGGTTGGATTTTGAAAATGTGTACTGGCTGCCCAGGCTGCCACTCCTTGTGGGTAGCCCACAGTTTTGGCTGGCAAGGGCCCCTTCCGGCGTTCTAGTGAGTTGGATCTGTCCACCTCACTGCACTCAGAGTAGGTGTCCAGGGAAGGGGGTAAAAGGCGCTGGAACACAGTGCTCATTTCTGAAAGCAGAGAAGATGTGCTGGTATCTCCAGTGTCCTCGTCGTTTGGGGAGTCCTTCCCAAAGGTGGAAAAACTTTTCTTCTTCTCACCAGAATCTGAAGGCTGGGTGTCATCCTCGAGACTCTGATGTGGATGCTGCTGCTGGGGTTGTGTTGGGAATTCCTCCCCCGGGATGAACATGTTACTCCTGTAATCAGAAGATGGCGAGGGCAGGGGTGGCATCCAGCACTGGTCGGAGTGGCCCAGGACTCTGCACTCCTCCGTGCAAAGCCTCATAGCTGCACTCAAGGACAACAATGGGGATTCATTATTATATTTAGCATAACTCAAAATGAAGAAATAATGAAATTTTTCTTTTTAAAAAGGTTGATTAAGGCAGTTATAAACTACTATCATGATGCTAATCCATTACTGTACACATTACATAGGCTACCATTTGGAGTTAATTTGGAGGCCAGTTTTATGGACCTCCATAAATCATTTCTACTGGTGTCTTTTTTCTTTTTTTCCCCTTGTTTATCAAATAAGGAAAGCTGTTATCAACTCACCTACTCCTCATGAATATCATAATTGCTACTCAAGGAATAAGAAAGTGGATTGATAACTTATACATGAGAATAACAGAAAAAGAACTAGGGTATGAGTGATGAAATACATACAAATTCTGAAAAACTGATCTAGAAGGTGAGGCCCATAATTTAAGATTCCATCAGGAAACCCTTGAGTAGCACCTGTGAGTAACTTTTTCAATATTGAGATCTATCAGACATATTTTATTTTAATAAAGGCATTGAGAACACAATATAGCCCTTAAAGGTTATTATCGATTATTTATTGACTTGTTTTTTAAACAGAGATAAGAATCCTCAGCTACTGGGCATCTGCAGTTACCCTGTTAAGAAGTCTGCTTTTAAAGGTTTGAAATATATTTATATTCAAACACACGGAAAAGTCATTGAAAGATGAAGAATATGAAAAATCCATTGCTTAGTTTTTCTGGATGTTATGATCCCTTATTGGAATATGATTGGCCACACTTGCATAAAATAATAGACAATATGAGAAAAAGAAAAATAAAAGGAGAAAAAAATCTCTAAATTTGCCAATTACAGTAACTAAATTATATAATAACCAGGAAATGCAAGAATGTGTACTCCACAAATCATCCATCTCTTTCAGTGAGAACTTCGATATCATGATTTTAGGTGTCTTCAATATCATGATTTTAGAGCTAACCTCCGAATGCAGAAAATGCAAAATGATTCAGATTTGAAAGGAAACTGGATTGATATCAGCGACACATATAAATTCAAAGCTAATTCTGTATGTCTAACTAGTTATGAATGATTTCTCTTCCACCCAAATTATTGCCTAAATGGATGACCCTTGGAGAATGTCAACTTCCTTGTCAGAGGAAGCAAGTTGTCTATTGTGTTTATTGCTGTATCCCCAGCACTTGGTAGACTGTCTAGAGTATATGTTTTCTGAATGAAAAGTAAAATTAATGTTGACTTTCAGAAAAGGGGACGTAATAGTTGTTTAAAGGTGTCGTGGTCACTGCCTTTTCTGGCTTGACCCTTCAAGATAATTTTCTTATTATATATCATCAGTTCTGGACCTCACTTCTTAACATGGAAGAGGATAGTTTGAGAAACGAAAGGAGAGCAAATATTATGAGTAAAAAACGCCTGATTTCTGGGAAGACTAGAAATGTTAAAGAAGCAGGGGAAAGAAAGATGAGTGTGAATACCAGTGGCATGTGACTCACTATGGAGTACGAGAAAGAGAGTAATTGTGTAATTCTGCTATGAAGAAATATTAAACTTTAAGCAAGCATGATTTAAGAATAAAAGGAAGCTCACATGTGATGACTTGATGCATTATTACTACTTGGAAATATTTACCAACTATTGCCCCTCATCATTTAATGTGGCAAAACCTTACTTTCAAAAGGAGTTGAGAGTAATTGGAATACCTTAATAGCAACAAGGTTTTTTCTGCAGTGAAACAGCTATCAAAGTGGTAATGAATTTTTTTTTTTTCCTCATTTCCTGGGTCTCTGAAAATGGAAAAGTGGGCTGTCTCTACTGGCTTATTCACATCCTGTCAGAAGGAAGGGGAATAGACCTGCTGAAAACTCTCCGTTTTTTTTCCCGGTCTTTAATTCTGTGGTTTTAGGCTTGCAAAGGACTTACCTGTTTGATTGATTGTGTGACTGGCTTTGTTTTGTTTTAATGTTTCATGATAGGAAAAAAAAAGAAACAGTACAAAGAGTTCTAATAATCCTGAGCATGATGGAATTTTCTAGAGACCTGAATATAGTGAACATATAATCAATACAGTCTGTGTGACTTAAATGACAGTTCATGCTTAAAAATATAATTTTGGTCATAGGAATTTATTAAACAAAGTGTTATTTTGTAATCTCATCACAATAAACAAATGGGGCATTAAAGGTAAAATGATAAATTAATTTTAAAATGAAAAAATTAAGAAAATATGAAAAAATGATGAAGAAATGAAAGAGAAAAGAATAGTAAAAATAATGAAGAGGTGTTAAGGAAGAGTAGTGATACAGAAGAGGGCATTTCTCTCACTTTCATGGATATTTTTCAGTGTTCTCCCTGGAGACTCTGCTGTTTGAAAACATTTGCAGTGTATACGTAATTCAGTTCTGCAAAGGTTGCATACAATCTCTAAGGGATCAGGTGCAGTTGGCAAGTGGAGCAAGTGGCTAATGTTTCTGTAGCTTCTTTGAAAGCTCTGGTAGGTGGTTAAGTTTTCTTTAGGATGGGGTGCAGGGGAAGAAGTGAACTCTTCTTTCCCACTATAGGACTGTAAATTTTGTCACCGTACCAACCACACTTTATAGGTAAGGCAGGAAGCAGAGCATCAACTATATGGAGAAAAAAAAAAAAATGTATGCTTAGCTTCTATCAGGTCCCCAGGTGGCACACAAGGTTTGCGCCTAACTACTAACCTACAGATTGGTGGTTCAAACCTACCCAGCAGTGCCACAGAAGAAAGGCCTGTTGATCTGCTTCCATAAAGATTACAGCCAAGAAAACCTAATGGAGCAGTTCTATCTGTAACACACAGGGGTGCCGTTAGTCGGAACTGACTTGACAATGAGGATAGCTTCTATCAAGCCGTTAGTCACTGGAGGGATTGATCAATTATCTACTAAGAAACTACCATATGTAAACTCCTATGATGGTCCCGGGCCCTTAAATGACTTAAGATCTAGTTCAGAGGCAAATATAGCAAATGAGTTCATAAATGGCCAGCTAAACTGTCAAAGTATATGATGCTGAGGGCATTTTAAGAAAAGAATAAAGAGTGGTGGTGGAGGTTGAAGTGTTCAAAGAAAGAGCAACCTGAGCCAGACTTGAGAGATGAAAAGAATTTATACAGATAAAGTGAAAAAAAGCCAGTTGTACAGGAAGGAAGGGCAGCAAGTGCAAAGGATTGGTGTGTTACATGAAGAGATGTCTCTGCCTATTGGAAATGGTAAAAAATGCCTAAGTTGAGAGTTAAGAAGCTAAGAATGGGTTTTGAATGGCAAGATAAGTAATTTAATTTGGTGTTGCTGGGCAACAAAGGCCACTTATGGATTTTTGAGCCCCCAAATGTAAATTAAAATGTTTTGAAAAGGTTGCTCAGGCAGATGTATGAAAGAAAGATTTGAGGAGGAGAAGAGAGTTACAGAATACCAGTGTATGGTGATATAGTAAGCCAAGCAGAGCAGAAAGGCTACAGCTAGGAAACAGGCGATGGAAATTGAGAGAACATAGAATTCAAAAGGAATGTTTGAAGTAAGTGGTAACAGATGACAGATCAATAAAAAGTCGAATGGACTCAACTGAGAAGGAGTATCACATGAAACAAAATAAAAAGCTTTTATCAATCACCTTGGGGCAGCTAAAACATTGTAAAATAAAGACTTCGCTGGCATATGTGCAGTATTATAGTTCAAAGTTGAATGAGTAATGAAGAAAATATGTTGACAAACATGAGCCAACAGACAAAAATGAGCACTGATTTTACTGCTCAGAATGCAGGATATTTGTGTGGGAATTAATAGAATCAATGACCAGAAATGACCCTGTTGGCAGGCCATGTAGCATAACATAATCTATATTTGAGCACAGACTAATGCAGAAAATCAGTTGGAGTAAGTCCCTTAAGTCCTAAAAATATACACGCTTTAGGAAACTGCACTGATTTCTGTTAATGACATTCATGTGGACTTACATTTTTTTCTACTTGGGATATTTCCTGGGAATATAAGTTTACAGAGCACAAGTTTTACATCTCAATGCGCCTGCATAAATTGCCAGGGTGAATAATACATTAGAGTATGAGTAAAAGTAATACTCCTCAGAATGCTCATAAGTAAGGGATGGGAGTCTCTGGGTGGTTCAAACCGTTAAAGTCTCGGCTGCTAACCAAAAGTTTGGAGGTTCAAGTCCACCCAGAGTACCTTCAAAGAAAGGTCTGGCAATCTAGTTTCAAAAAATTAGCCTCTGAAAGCCCTATGGAGCACAGTTCTACTCTGACACACATGGGGTCACCACGAGTTAGAGTTAACGCGATAACTGGTGGTTACCTCTGTATAGAAGATATTCAATATGCACATTTCAATCTATAATAAATAATGCTTCTGAATAAAGCTTACAATATCTTATGGATCATTGATGATCTCCTGGTGCTCTATGCCTCTAGGATAGTCCCACCACACCTCACATAGAGCAGATAGATAATGAGGCTGAAAAATATCTGTTGTAATATAATATGTTGTAATTCAATGAAACATATGGCAAAACGGATGCCCCCATCACACTTCTGGATTAAGTATGATTGTTTAAATATGGAATTGTTTTTAAAAGGATTCTCTATATGTTAAGTGGTATTATTAGTGGTAATAAAAAAAGGTAGACTTGAACTTCTAACTTTGAAAATAAATATAACTTGGAAGGAATATAAAGTCACTCACTAAATGAGCCTCCTTAACTATTTTCTAGAATCTACCTTTACCTTGTTTCCCCAATGTCTTTATGCCTAACTTTTTTTCTTTTCTGTATAAGCCGCTTGATAATTCTTCTGCTATGAACACAGCTGATGATGGCAACTTCGAAAATATAGGAAAAAGTAAAAGAGGAGTCTTGACCTTTTTTAAAAAAAATTAGATTCATCATTAGCTGTTGGGATTATGTAAAATCAGAATTAAAAAGGATTATACACATCATTTAGTCCCATAAATGGCAAAGTTATCTAATTAGGGGTGGTTATTCTCTATCCAGGTATGTTAGATAAATTAAAATTTTCAATGAATGAGCTTCATACAATTTTTAAAATTACTTATTTAATAGAGTATTTCCATTATATTCAGGGAGGAAGGGCCTCATGAGCAAAGGATTATTCCCATCGTTTTGCTTTTCTGTTTTATAAAATAATGTAGTTTAGGAAATTAAATTATTCAAAATGAGAGATCAATATTCAAAATTAGGTTTCCCTCAGTATCATGGAACCATAGAAATTCAGCCTGCTCCTCCATACCCAGGCATGGGCAATAAGACTGATTCTCTTTTAGTAAGTTGACTGAAGACATGTATATCCCATTAGATTTTAAGAGATTTTTCTCCAAGTGGGTCTAAGAAATTAAAAAAAGACACTGCAGGTGAATGTGCAAACATAGACTCTAATGTACATTTTAGCCCTTAATACCACTACAGGTCCTTCCCATATATTTTTCCTGCCCGAGATACATTACCTACTACTGTAACAACATAATTAAATGAACAATATTTAATAGTTGCAGGAGGGTTGTAAGTCTTTAGAATATAAAAACAGATATGTCAATTTATTTTAAAAAACAAAACAAAACAGTTACTTCAAATTACTCTTGATAGACTGGTGTTTACGAGCGTGGGGATTGGTTCAGATATCAGCTCTACCATGTACAAAGTGCCACGTGTCAAAGTGTGGTGGGAGGCAATGCAGGTACAGAACTCAGCCTGGGTCCAGCCCCAGAGTAAGTTCTCAGCGTTGATGAGTACTACTGCTAGGGCTCCTACCGAAGGTAAGACTGCTGCTGCCATTGTCACCACTGCTTCTACTACTTATGAGAGTTAGACTTTCTATTTACTGATTTCTCTTCAATGTCCTTGGCCCTTAGAGGCTCTCTCATGCCTATTTCCTAAACTCTCTTACTTCTCTGTATTTAGAAAACAAGAGCTCCACGGAACTCGGGCAGGTAATAGTGTTGTTCCACCTTTCTTTCATTTATCAAATGGTACTCATTTGATCCACGTTCAGCGGGATTTAGAAATTTAAACAGCCAAGGTAACACTCACGTGTCCCTAAAGGGTCAATTTAATACTACAGTTCTTTAGAACAGGGTTGCTATAATGAGGCCTTCAGTATTCACCCAATCGGTTCAGAGAGTTTCTACTGCACAATTAGAGAGAATGGACTCTGAGGAAAACATGGTTTAGAATTCAATACAATCTCTTCCATACATCTGTGTACTTTATAAACTCCCCCTCCTGGACCACTGTTCCTTTTCCACTATAGTGCAGACCTAAAATGAAAGGTGAAAAAATTATTCTATGTTTACCACCTACAAAGCTGCATTCTTGTGCCTATTTTTAGTGCTTAAAGTGTACCATGTCTAGTGTATTTTAATCTCTGATTCTGTGAGTTGGTTTCCATCACAGGAAACGTGTCCTCCAAATTACAGTCCAGTTCACCACTAAGCACCAAAACATGTGGTTTGAATAAAAACAACCAGCCAGTAATTTTATGGAGTTGCTCAGTGTTCTATGGAAGTATTCAATAGGCTAGAAAGAGGAGGGAAATGGCTTGATTTTCTATTATCCTCTCTCTGTCCTTTCCCCCTTGTCCTATTGAGCACTCAGGCTTATTCCGTCTCCAACTACTGCTTAATATGAGCTTGAAGAAAATAATTTTCAAGTGTGCCAGTTTATGTTTGTTGCTAATAGTGTGCAGATTACAAAGACTTACGTGCAAATGATAAATGAAGAAGTATAAGAATAAAAGAAAATTTTCATTTTACTGGTGCCGTAGATCTGACAATAAACATTTATGTATCACTACCCTCTTACCTGCTGGAATTCTTCCATCTGTAAGGAACAGGTCACTGAACCCTTCCCCCAGCAGCCTGTCTATTGGAGAGTCTCGTCCCAAATCATAGTCACTGTCTCCTGCTTCACTGTCACCACGGCCACTGTCTTTCAAGCTAAATTTGTCCATGTCTTGAAGGGCATACCTAGAAAGATAAATCAGGTAAAGTATAGTTTTTACTCTTGAGCATTCATGTTATTGGAGGCTTAATAGCTAACATCAGGCTAATTCATACCTGTAGCTCCTGGAATATTTATTTCCTCGGAAACTTGGCCTCGGCTGATACTGCCCCTGGTGAAGCATTGAAAGAAGCTGGGAGACCTGCTAGAAAGAAAAGACACAGTACTGATTCCTGGAAACAGACCTCCAAATACAAGCTTTAAGCAAAGAGAAACACTTACTTGTTATTTTGTTTTAAGCAATTGAACAAGTTATCCCAATTTTAAGGATTTGCAAATGCTAGGCTGTGGCAGACAGTACAGCCTGCCACCAAATAAAACTGAAATATATTCCAGTGGGGACAAAAGCTTAAGAATGCCTGATAATTAACTAGATACTATCAAAACATGAGAGAATGAAACCAGAGAGATTTGGATGATCTAACACAAGTGACTCTTTATTTTGGAAAGAGCACTCGTTTAAATAGCTGATTGAGTTCCCTCATTTATAGTTCAGCTGAAAATGATCAGCTATAAAAATGTATAGAAAATGCTGCATAATACAACATTCCACCACATGTAGTTAAAATAACATCAGAAATTTTTCACAAGTTGAACAGCTATAACATGCATTGAGATGGGATTCTGGAGGCCTTTTTAAAAAATCTTTCAGTAGAGATCGTAACTATGAGAATAAAGCCAGCCTCTTTGCTTTTTGGCTTCTAGTATCTTAAACTGAGAAGTAAGGGGATGCTAATTAGTCCCTTTCAACTCTCAAATTAACATTTTCTTTTTCTATAGCATACATATTTCATGCAAGTAAATGATTTAACAAAAACCGAAAATAGTATGCTGTGTATATACATGCTATATACACACAATTTAGCTCGCATCATATTTAATTTTGCATATTTTTAGTATTGTTACCTATTTATGGAGATGCTGAAGAACCAACACATATACAGTTTCTGGACACTAACAGCTGACTTTGTCAGTGAACTGATGTAGTGGATGATCTTACCTCAACAGCAGGGGTCGCATGGGTGAGTTCTAATGAGAAATTCTCTGGCACGTGGTTCGATGAGATTGTCACCAAACTGTTGAGGGACTGGTGGCTGTTGTGACTCTGCCGGCTGCCCATTTGCCCTCTTTCTAGGGTAGGAGATGAAGATGGAGATGATCTGTGATGAGATCTGATAGGCAGTGTGCCATTTACTGTAGGCACTAATGTAATGTCCCCTTTGTGAATCTGCCTGGATGGCCTTTTTGGGTGGTGCTGATAAGTTGATTCTGCTACCCTGCAGTTGTAAGATCTAGTGTCTTTCTTTTCTCGGTTACACCTGGTTGCAAACAGCACCATAATAACCAGCAATACTGCACAGATTGCTCCCAAGGAAATAATTATAATCATGGAGACATCCAAAGATGCCTGGCTTACTGAGGTCATTGCTGTACTTGTCACAGACTCTGCATATTCAAAGATCATGCACTTCAGAAGGACTTTGGTATGCAGCTGAGGATTGCCTTTGTCCTGAATGATAACTGAGAGCTCCCATTCTGTGTAGGGAACAGAGTCCATGCTCACGTTGGTATGGATGTCACATGATCGTGGATCAATTACGAAGATATTCTCCTCGTTACCTGCTACTATGGAGCAGCTGAGTTCAGCATTCACGCCCGAGTCTCTGTCAATTGCCCTTATTCTTGTAACATGAAAGCCACTTTCAACCCCTTTGGGGATGGCGATTTCTGCGGTATTATTGCGCAGAGCAGGCCCTATAACCACAGGGACATTGTCATTTTCATCAATGATGGTAAGCACAACTGTGGTATTGCTTACAAGTTGCTTTGGACTCCCTCCATCTCTTGCTTCAACCACAAAAGTGATCTGATTCACTTCTTCATGATCAAAGATTCTGAGGGCATAGATGGCTCCATTCGATGGGTCAATGGTTACATATGTGGTTATGGAATTTCCCAGGATGAAACTCTCCAAAATGGTATATGTAACATGCCCATTTTCTCCTAAATCAGGATCTGTGGCTGTAACAGTGGTGATATATGCCCCTGGCGAGTTATTCTCTGAGATTACAAATTCATATCGGCTTCTCTGGAAGTGGGGTGGATTGTCGTTTATATCGTTGATTTGAACAGTAAAATGTTTTACTGTAGAGAGACTTGGTGTCCCCTTGTCCTCGGCTATGACAGTCAAACTGTATTCAGATCTCTTTTCTCTATCCAGTGTAGCATTAGTCAAGATTAAATAATTGTTCTCATAAGTCTTCTGAAGTTTAAAGTGACCATGTCCATGAAGCTTACAAACTATTTCTCCATTCAGCCCAGAATCTTTGTCCTGAACCCTGACCAAAGCAACAAATGTGTCAATAGGATCCCCTTCAAAAATATAAGATATTTCTTCTTTTCCAGGAGACATCAGATTTATGTTAATTTCAGGTTTATTGTCATTAACATCCACAACCTTAATTATAATTTTGCAATGAGCCGGGATTGAATTCGGGCCCAAATCTTGAGCCTGAACATCAATCTCATAAGATTTGGTGATTTCATAATCCACTTGCTTGAAAAGAGTCAAATGGCCTCTTTCTGAATCAATTTTAAAAGTCTCTATAATTTTGGGAGATACATGACTGCTGAAGGAATATACAATTTTCCCATTAGCGCCCTCATCTGGATCAGTGGCATTCAGATCAAGAAGCAAAGTGCCAACTGGGGAGTTTTCTAAGAGTTGTAATATGTAAGACTGCTGCTCAAAAGCAGGGCTGTTGTCATTGGAGTCTGAAATGCTTATTTTTAGTATGGATGAGCCAGACCTCTGAGGCACCCCCATGTCTGAGGCAGTGAGCTGAAGCTCATAGCTTGATTTCAGCTCCCGATCTAGCTCTCTGACCACTATGAGTTCTGCATACTTGGCTCCATCAGTCCTGGTCCGCACCTCGATATTAAAAAAATCATTGGCAGAGAGGGAGTATGTGTGGAGGGAATTTTCCCCAACATCTGGATCAAATGCACTATCCAGAGGAATACGAGTCCCAATCGCTGCACTCTCAGATATCTCAATAGGTATGAGAGATCTTGAAAACTGAGGAGAATTGTCATTAATATCCAGCACTTCAACTTCAATATGGAAAAGCTGCAGATGCTCAGTGGGTAGAGTGATCACATCAAACTCTATGGAACAGTTCAAGTTTTTCTGGCATAGTTGTTCCCGGTCAATTTTAGCCCCTATGCTGATTTCCCCATTATCTTCATTGACTACGAGGAGAGGAGAATTTCCCCTTTGCATGGCTCGAAAACGAACAGCAGAAGGATTAGGTAGCTTAAATAAAACATCAGCCACATCCTCTGATAGTCTTGCAATTACTGATCCAACCCTCTGTTCCTCATAAATCCTGTATTTCAAATTCTTGCTCAGTACATCGTGGTTGAAACATACCATCAAGAGTGCAAAAATAAATCTAAAGTGCATTTTAGTATTCATTTGGTGCATCGGTCAGTTTATGAGATTCCCCTCACAGAGCAAATTAAAACAGCAAAGCAATCCTCTCAACTTCCTTTGGCAACTTAAAGCTAGCTACATTTGGTACTTGAAACTTGAAAGAGCCTCTTAATAACACAGCACAGTAATTAACAGCTCGCAAACTTTTGTTTTATACACACCGTGTCTCGATTTCCAGATATTATCGGCATGGAGTCCAATCCTTGCATTTGTTTGCCTGTTCGTCCTCTTTCCAGTCAGAAGAGTGTCACCTCCGCGTTTTCCCTCTTGTGTAGTTGGAATCCATCTCTTGCAAGGTGCCCGTGGAGTCTGCAGTGTAGCTTTCCCGAGCGGTTTTTTCTCCCTTTCTCTGTTCGGCTGCAGACTAAACACCAGTGATTGCTGACTCCAGTCTAAAATCTGTACAACTTCACTTCAACTCAGACAAAGCTCTTGCCTGGCGTATGTTGAATCGCTTCCAGCCAATCAGCGTCCTTCCAAATCAAAAGCTGATGGAGTCACCAAGGCGAAGGAGGGCGAGAAGGGAGGGTGGGAGAGGGAAAGAGAAGGAGGAAGGCGATGGGGGCCGGGAGGGCTGTGGGCGCGAGAGAGAGAAGGGGAGAAAGGCTGGTGGGGGCTGGGGGCGGAGGATGGGAGCAGTTCCTTCCCTGCTCCTCCCTCCCTTCTCCCGACTCTTCCTCCTTTCAGTCTACTACATTCGCTTTCTCTGAGCGTGCCACGACAAAGGGGAGACAAATTACGGAAGAAAAACTTTAAATCAACTTCTGGTCGTGTTTATTTATACGGCACTTTAAATTGTTCTTGTTTTCTTAATTGTCCTTTCTTCTTCCACAAACATGTAATCATCTTGCTTTTCATCGTCTTTAAGTACTGGGTTAACTTAAAATACTTCTAAGTGCCTTTTGTTGGTGGAGGAATTTAATAAAATTTGAAAACTTGCTTCTAATTATGCTCCCCAGACCACCTCCTACCCCTTCCCCCTCTATAAATACTTGAGTCTTTCTCCTAAGAGGACTAGCAGGTTTTCTTGGAGCTCTGTTTTAAAGATCAGGACAAATAAAGAGATTTTATTTTCTGTTTTTCATTCATCATTATTCTTTGAAGAAAAGAAAAGGGCTGTTTTACATTTTTGATTTCTCTTAATTAGCAAGATTTAATGGAACACCTCAGAATTTACAATTAGTTAACGATATAGCTCTACCTTATATCACTGCTTTCCCTGAGTTTGGGTGCAATTGTCTAGGATAATTCTTCTCTATTGTGCTTGGAAAAATCCTATTCATTTGGGGGAAAAGACATTGCCTGCTTTAGTATGCCAATTTCTTACCAAAAGTTCCTATCTGTATGTGGGGAGTCTTCACAATGAATACTGAGGGGACATGGACTCCATAGTTTACAAGTCAAATTTTCTATAATGTATGTATTATTTATGGATACACCTTTCAGATATGTATTTTAAAACCCAAACCTTGTTTACACTGAAGAATAAAATGCCTGAGCTGAAAATTGCATTTTGTGTGCATCAAAATGCTAGGAAATATCATGGGAGGCTGAGGCTCTATCCAGGTCACAGAAACTGATACGGTATTCATATTTGAAAATATGATTATTTATGATGTTCTTTTTTGCTCTGCAATTCCTTTTAAGTTTATCACTGTGGCTCCATCCTTGCTGCTTTTTTCATACCTTTTTGCATTATTCCTCAGCTGTCTTCGTCTGCTTCCCTATTTGCTGTTTCACATAATTTTGCTGTCACCTTTTTCCATTTATTTTCCCCCACTCTCTATTTTGCCCCCCAGAAATATATATATATATATGTATAATTTTGTGATTTTTCCACTTTGCTTACTCTCAGCAGAGCTCAGCTAAAGTCACTAAGAAGGTTCTTTCCAAAAAAGAAAGCAGAGGAGTCTCAGTGTGAACTCTCCTTCTTTTTAGGCATTCAAAAGCATTTTATAAGCCATTGTCTTTTTCCCCCCTCCAGAAACCAGTGCTGTGTGGCAAATTGTGCAGAATAGAAATGTCTATAATGAATGTATTTAGTCCTGGGTCACGCTGATGAACACTCTGCCTCCATGAATAATACTGTTTTACAAGTTTGTAGCCCTTTCAAATTGCTGTTCCCCAAACCCTATAGGCAAACTAGGAAATCTACCCTAAGCAACTGGGACTTTAGAAACCCATAGCCATCTGGCCTAGATCTCTAACAATCTGAGCCAATAATTATATCAATTCAGGCTTTAGTGCACCCCTTTGCAAACACCAAAAGAGCAAACAAAGGAATTAGTGACTATTCAAAGTTGGGGTGAGAATTCAAAGGTAATCTAATTCCATTAGTTCTAGGAGAGTTTTCTTCATGAATTTGATGTCTATCCCCAAATTTCCAACAGCAATGGATTTGATTACCTTAATTTAGAGGACATGTGGTTTTCTATGCTTAAAAAAAAAAATTAAAAATCCTTCTTTCATTTCCAAAAGTTGGCTTGAAGTGAATTAATCAATGTCACAAAGAGTTTCAATGTAACTTACTGAAATATTTAAAATAGGTGGTGAATTAGTATATGTTTATAAAGACTATGAGTAAGTCTTTAAAGAACTTGTAACCCTTTCATGGGGAATGACTCTTTTCACTTAAAATATCATCCTCACCAAATATTATTTCCTTTTCAGTTTGCCAATCTCTCCGTGAAAAATTACATATACCTATTTGACAGTATTTTGCTTTTGATTTCTGCTCACTATACATACCCTGTTCTTCACAGTTTTTTCCAGGAGCACAGAATATGTTTTTTTGTTAGTTCCAGCATTTCAAAATTTTATCATTTGGTAGCCCTGAGAAGAAAATATCAAAAAAAAAAAAAAAAAAAGGAAACAACAAAACAGCTATCATCCAACTCAGTTCTGTATGTGAATGGGTTTGTATAAAGCTGAAAAAACTGGTAAATTTCTGTTAGTTGTCTCTAATGGTGATTAATTGAACTTTCTCATTCTTCTGGAATTTCCCAGAGTCATGAAAAAGTGATAGACCCTCTAAAACAACTTCTAAGATATCCAGTGGAGAGATCCTTGAAGGCCATCCACCTTTGACATGGCAGCCTTTGTTTACAAAGAAGGAGATGGTTCCAGCTTTTGTGGACCGTGGCAATGTAAGTGGTGTTAGGCACTTGAGCAAAGTGCTCCTAAGCTCCTGGAGGGGAACCTTGGCTATTACCATCCTGTTGGGCATATTTTATCCACAAAGCTTCTTTTACAGCTTCAGCCTGATTTGCCTAAAAATTGGTAAACCCAGAGAAAAGATCCAGGCTGGCATTTGCAATACATCCTGTCACCTTTAATAACACTTTTGTTATGCCATTTATTGTGATTACTTTTGGTTTTCAGAAAATAACACTATAGCTTTATAATTCTAAATCTTCAATGTTACCGTTCCTACCAAAGGAGGGGAAATTTAGAACTTGATTGTAAAGCTCAATTGTTTTTCCATTACATGAAGAATAGTGTTTCTTTTGGTACTGGAATACAAAATAAAAATCACTAAAATCTCCTAAAAGCAGATATATGATTTTCTTCAAAAATCCTTAGTTACTAATTTCTGTTTTATTAGAGCATTTGAAATATAAAAACAAAACATAAAAACAGGGAGAAGAATTAATATCTACTTCCATCTCACCATACCATATCTTTCCCACTATCAAATTAGTAATATGAGCTTACGAAGTTCTTGTAGCTGGCATAACATTACAATCTTTCCTCATAGAATTTGCCGTGAAATGCATTGTAGTAGGCACTCATGGTCCTGCTTGATACTTACCACGTGAAAGTAGATAAGGGCAAATGCTTTACTAGACAAAGGTTGATACGGTCAAGGAATATCAATATTCTGGAACTGCCTGAGATAAGAACTTGACTTTTTATACAAGCCCAACAAATGTATGAATGCAGGTGTCACCAATTGGTATCTGTGTAATCTTGAACAAATAATGTAACTTCTCGGAGTCAATCTAACACTCTGTGAGAATAATAATATTCTACTGTAAAGAATTTTTGTAAGAATTAAATGATTGGTGCTTAGCCCAGAGTCTGGCCGATAACAGATGTAAAACAAAGGTTAGAGTCCTTTTCTTTGCCTCTCTGTGGGTCTGTTTTCTTCCTAACACTCACTGGGGAAAAAAGAATGTGGATTATGTACACAGTCCTTTTTGATTTTCGGGCTTTTGACTTAGACACTTATAAACTTTTATGCTAGAAAGATAAAGCTCTCTCCATTTTTAATTTATGAAGTTACCTGTAAAATATAGTAGTCAAAACTAATAGTACTGAACTATGATGATCTTGAAAACCTGCTGCTTCACTGAAAAAAAATTCCACAACATCTATCCAAATATACTCTTTACGTATCAGCAGACCCTATGCCATAGATGTATGTCTAATACTACAGTAAAAATAAGTCTTCGAAGGTACTTGCCAGGACACATGTCTAAGATTTGTTCTGAAAGTGTTTGAGCTAAATCTTTTTTTAATATAATGCCACATTATAGTAGCAAGACAAAAGGATAAGATTTGGTATGATGTCTTAGCAACGACAGGGAAAGATAAAACTTGTCAAGTAAAATTTTCATTTAAAAAAAGTTAGACCTTTTATCAATCATGTTATATCTCTTTATGTTGTCTCTCTGTATTCCATTTACTAGTCCATTCAAGAATATAATAATGAAAAATCACCAAACAATATGAATCCCATGTTAAAACGGATTTATCAACATAAGATCAAGGGTTGGGAAATGACAATGGATCCCAAACTATCCGTCGACTTTTAGAACAGAGATAGACTTTAGTATAATTCTGCTCATAACTAAATAGGCCTTCTGCCCTTAGGAGGGACCCACACCTGGAGGCATAACTGTGTAAATGCCAGGAGGCAGCATAGCCAGGGGGCCAGGAAGAGTTGGAGTCCATGAATTACAGTGACAGATGCTGGGTCAATTTTGTCTGAGTGGGCAATCAGTATTTTGGCTGTCCTGCCAAAGGTAGCATGCCAGGTTCAGACAGGTGACTTAGGATCTGGCAACAGGCAATCTACTGAGCTCCAGATGAGAGGCTTGTAGGGAAGCCACTGTTAATTTTAGGACTTCAAGCTTTCAGAGCCAATCAGGATATAAAATTAGAGATTTAAACGGGGAGAACAAGACACACACCTAGAGAGCCAGTGTTTTGAACAATCACACATATTGGAAGCCTAGTCAAAACACTCGACCAGACCACAAAGTTAGACTAGATAGCCTCAAGTTTGATTTTAGGATTAATCATCTGACCTATTCTTTGCTATTGTTGTTGTTGTTAGATGCTCTGGAGCTAGTGTTCTATAAATTCCTTCTGATCATGGCAGTATCCTGAGGCAGAAAACGAAGCTTACAAATAGTGCTCCAATAGTCTCAGCTGAGAAGATTCGAGGGACCTGGGGAACTAAACCTTCAAGTGA